AAAGCGGCTGATGTCTGCATCTATCTCAGAAAAGACAGGACCCCCTGAGAGTGACTAGCAGAGGAAAAGAAGGGAGTGGCATACAGCAACTCAGTTGTGGTAAATGCTCACTGCAGAACCAAGAGCCAGATATACCCACGTTCTTTTCTTTTTCTTTTTGCATTGTTTTTATTATTGTTGTTTTTGTTTGCTTGCTTGCTTGCTTGTTTGAGACAAGGTTTCTCTGGGTAGCCCAGGCAGTCCTGAATTCACTTGATAGACCAGGTTGGCCTCGAACTCAGAGAGATTAGCCTGCCTCTGCCTCCTTGAGTGCTGGGATTAAAGGTGTGTGCCCCCACTGCGGGCTCTTATCCTGACATCTGAGATAGCTTCATGCCAAAACTTTATGGAGAAACCACAGGGGAAGAACTGGAGGCATCTGAATCCAGACTGGGTATTTGGTGACCGACAGAATTGTGAAGTCACATTTGTGATCTTGCTGATGCTGTGCTGGTAAGGACATGGTTTTGATTTTAGATCAGCACACTTTAGCATCTAGAGATGTCTTAGCATGTCTCAAATATACTTCATAGTACTCTGTGAAAGAACCAGGAGTTAAGTTGGATGGTAGGAGTGTCACATGCTTGTAACCCTAACACTAGGGAGACTGAGGCAAGTGGACCCCTTCAAAGTCAAGGCCAGCCTAGGCTAACAGAGTGAGAAGCTTTACAATGAAAAAGAAGAATTCAAGACATGTTCACGGTTTCCCATCCATGTGGAGGTTGAACACCAACTGAGCCATTTCCTCTGTAAAAGAACACACACAGGAAAGGAAACAGTCTTCCCAGAGCCCGACTCTGGCAGGACATACTCTGAGCATACTTACAGTTTCCTTTTAGAAACTCTATCTGGACCAGAAAGATAGCTTAATACATAGTAGGTAGGGTATGTGGATTGCAAACATGAAAACTTGGGTTCAAATCCCCCAACTCTCTATAAAGTCAGACACCACAGCGTGCCTCTATGAAGCCAGCATCCCTAGGGGAAAATCCTCTCTCACGCAGGAGATAGTTTTCCAGTTATCTCTATGGGACACGGGGCCATGATTTGCTAAGGTGGTTGTGAGCATCCATCAGAAGATACAGTGGAGTGTAAGAGACACGGTGCAGTGCACAGGGCAGTGAAGAGTTCAGGGAGGATGGGGAACTAGAAAGGTGGCAGTTTGCTAAGGTTCCAGACAGCTTGGCAGACTCCCATCCCTTCCAGGTGCTGCCTCCAAACTAAACTACAGATCTGAATCGGCACTGCATCCCACTAACGGCAAGCCGAGGCTCCACTCCCAGCTCTGCAGCCGCCTCATACACTGGCTGTCAGTTTAGCCTCTGTGGCTTCCTAAAAGCTTGTGTTTGAGCCCCATCATGGTCTCTAGCCCCTCTGGCCAGGACAGGTTCTGCCTACCTGATGGAATTCAGTCAGCAAAATCTCTGGCAAGGCACCTTGCCCCCAGCTGCAGGACCCAAGGTGGCTTGGAACCCTGGGGCCCGCATCTACTCAGAGGGATGTGCTGACATAACCCCTTATCCTTCATGCACAAACGTCAGAACACCCTGCACCTTAGCTGTCCTCAGGGATGAGAGTTGTGGTCTCAGGTTCCACACAGGGAGAGTCCCTTAAGGCTCCCCTGCAACATTGCTTACCCCCCTCCTCCCAAACCCCAGTAATATCCATGGCTTTGCATTTCCACAGATAGACACTGTAATGCCATCCTGCAAGTCTTCCAGAACACGAGGTCCTCAGAGCAAGAGGCACACCGGGAAGTTGTGAGTAATCCAAGCATCCAGCATCCAGGCCCTGCTTCAGGCCCAATGAGTCAGATCTTCAGGGGCCGGGACCAAGAGCTGTGTTTTCTTGAGTTCCCAGAAGGATGCATATTGGCCATTTCCTGGGTACCAGTCGTACCTTCTCACTGTACCCATCAGCAAGTGCCCACACATCCCTTAAAGCCTTCTATAAGAAAGCTCTCAGGCCCTCGGACTCTCAACGGGATTCCTCCTTCTTCCGTCTGAAGCACTTGGTTTGTATTTCTAAAGTAGTTCCTGTTATATATTTGTGATCTTTCTTTGCCAGTAGGTTAAGCATATGGAACAAGAGAGGAGGAGGAGGAAGAGGAGGAGGAGGAGGAGGAGGAGGAGGAGGAGGAGGAGGAGGAGGAAGCCTTTCTTCTCAGCACCTCACTGAGTGCTGCCCAATTCTTGTAGATCTCCACCAGGAAGTGAAAGCCCAGGTCATAAAGCAGACTGGGGGGTGCGGGTAGGGGGACGGCTGGATTTTAGTCAGTTTCACCTCTCACTCCGAATGTTCTTCCCAGTGGCTGGCCTTCCTGGGCCTGTTTCTTTTGCCATTGGTGGAAGAATGCTACTCAAGTAGAAGCCTTAGGCTCCACCACAAACAGGAACCAAGAAGCTCCACGCTGCAGCCTGCAGAGGGGCCCGTCTAACCACCAGATGCTGGAACTTTCCCTGTCCAGACTACAGTTGCTCTCTAACCTAAGGAAGCACAGGGCCTTGGCTTCAGGTCCTCTTGGTCACCTCGGCCTCTGGTCATCAAGGAGTCAGTCAGGAAAGAGAAGGAAGAACCATCTCAATTTGTTGGAACAAATACTTGAGCTTTTTAAAGCCAGAAGGAATGATCATCACGGCTGGAGAGATGGCTCAGTGGCTAACAGCAAACACAGTCCATGTAGAAGATCCAAATTCGGTACCCAGAACCCACTTGGAGTATCTCACAAACATCTGCAACTTCTTCAGGTCCAAGGAATTACTGGGAATGGTGGGACATGCTGGAGGCCTTGTGATTCCAGAGGCCAAATAAGCAAGGAGGATTGCTTTAGGTGTGAGGCCAGCCTGGGCTATATAGCAAGAACAGCCCACCAAGCAGGAGCCCCGAGTCATTCCCAAGGTGGAGGGATTGATGCCATCTTGCTGTATCTGAAGGGATGGCACTCTGCCTTTGCCTCAGTCTCTCCCGTCCTGTGACACCCTG